TGGACGAGCCGGGCCGCGCGGGCTTCGCCTCGGAGTCCAAGGTGTAAGGGACCCCGCTCGGGGCGCGGATGCCGGGCGCCCCCTGTCCCCAGCGCCCCTGCGCCCCGCGGGTCGACCCTGAATGGCTTCCCAGGGGAAAGAGGAGAGCTCTGTTTACTCAAGACCGAAAGCAGGTGAACTCGAAGCCCACAAACCTCGTCTGAGTCCAAGACAAACAGAAAAGCCACGGACCGTTGCACGAAAAGGAAAGTTTGAGGAGCGGTTGGGAGAGTGGCTTGCTGATTTTTCTTGGGTTCTTTTCTGTGTGTGGTCCTGCCCCTATTCTTGTGTGTGTGTGATGCATCTTTAGATTTTTCTCCAGGTGGGTTTTGACACTTTCTGCAAAGACCCCATTGGAAACTGGGCGGGTAGGGAAAGGGAGATAAGCCTATCAGTTTGGCTTCCATCCCATTCCGGGGAACAGGAGCGGTCAAACGGGGGCGAGGGGGAAGGGTGGCAATCTATCGGGACGTGTTTCTTTTTGCTTTCCAGAGAAATTGCATTTTAATTCCGGAGTAATGATTTCTCCTGTTCTTAAAGCAAAGGGAAAGGATGGAGGCAAAACAATCTGGTTTCAAGCAACTTTTAAACTATTCTTAGAACAAGCTTCACCTTGCTTTCCTTCTGTAGGGCAAACCCCTGCACCTGCGCGCCTCGGTGGTCCTGCTGAGGGTTTTCTACCTCACCCTGTGCATATTGCACAGCAAGATAGAAAGACTTGTTTATATTAAACAGCTTATTTATGTATCAATATTAGTCGGAAGGACCAGGCGCTGAGCCTCTCTCTGTGACATGTGACTCTGTCAATTGAAGACAGGACAGGAAAAAAAAAAAAAAAAGGAAACAGCTCAGATAACTGCACATGTGCGTAAAAACAAAAAACAAAACACACTAAACAGGAGTGGTTCCCAATGCCATTTTTGCACAGTGTTAGGAATTGTAAAGTCCACAGATGTTACTTGCACAAAAAGAAATTCAATATTTTTAAAGGGGTGGGAAGGGGGCAGATCTTAAAAACTAAAATAAAATTCAAATTCAGCTTCTGTTGTCTATTACGTTATTGCGCTAATGATTTATTGGGGAAATACCTTTTTATACTCTTTTATCATGGTACTGTAACTATCCGTATTATAAATATAATTATCTTATGGATTTTTTTATTATTTTTTTATGTCCAAGTGCCCATGTGAGTCTGCTGGTAAAGTTTAGCACTTGTGTGTAAATTCTATTTCCTCTTGTATGTTTTACCAAGTATTTTTACTCTGGTGCAACTAACTACTGTGTGAGGAATTGGTCCATGTGCAATAAATACCAATGAAGCACAAGCAAGATTGTGTCTGTAAAGTGTCAGTGGCAGTGACAAAGATGATTTGTCTTTTCATTAGACTGCATTTCTCATAGACCTCTTTTAACAGCTTTTCATGACTCAATAACATAGCAAAATGCCTCTAGACCAAATATGGCGTTCACCTACTGAGAGCTGCAGATTTGCCCTAAATTTTCACAGCCGGATTCAAGGTATTCCAGACTACTTGTAGGCGCTTTTCAAGATTCCATCTGCTGCACTTGACTTACGAAGTGACATTTGGGATTGTGTCTGTTGGGGGAAAAAAAAAGTGACGGAACCAGGTAACTCCGCTGCAACTTTGCTGAGAAAAACAGGAAAGGAGACACTCGTGGAACAGCCGGCTGACGGAAATGCGGTAAGTGGCTTCCACAGTTTATTTTTGTTTTTTCCAGTTGAAAATCAGGGCCTACAGACCATCCATATGTGCAGATTCTGTAGTGATCGTTTAGCATATTCTAAGAAAAACTTATAACTAAGCAAACATTTATCAAAGGGCTTCTGAAGTAAATATGTCTCTTGTGTAATTCAGTAGATGATTTCAGCAGAAGTTTGGAGTGGGCAGCTCAAGGTAAAAAAGCAAATGTGAAATCATTTCATTTCCTAACAATTACAATATGAATGAACAAGATGTTTTTATACAATTAGTCTGTAAGGAAAGTACAGTGAAATTCCATCCTGAGGTTAATTATATGTTCTTCAAAATAACTTATTTAATGTTTATATTCTTAAACAGCTTTTCCTTTTTCTAATCAGTAAAAATATCACATGAAGAGTAAGTTTGTGCTCACGCTGCCCTCTAACAGGAATAGAGAGTTCTCTTCCAGGGAAAGTCAGGACTGATCATCCCTTTTCACAGTGGCATATCCTGAAGCCCAGGGGACAGTCTTCTGAGAAAGGTTAATGGAGTCTGCTGTGGAGTCCAGCAGGAGGTGACAGCAACAGCAGCACTTTCCACAGAGGCTGCCCCAAGTTTAACCCCTTTCTCAGCAAAAAGAAGAAAAAGGTGGGTGGAGGACCAGGATGACAAAGATTAAAAATAAAGGCAAATACTTAAAAACTTATTTTGGAGAATGTAAAATCAGCCTCAGGATGAAATGTTACAATGATTTTCTTTGACCCAAAGTCATTTCTAGTCTTGTTCCCTTTTGTGCAGGTAGGATGCAGTTGTCATGAGTTTTATCTCTTTATTTTAACCTCATAGCCTTAATGTCTTTAGTTTTCTCTGAAGAATACTGGGTTACCACGTTATTGCTTCTCTTTCTGGTTTACTGATTATTTTACTTATTCTGTTTAGATAAGTCTTCACATTTAAATTTTTTAAAATTGCCCTCTAAAAGTATATCACAGGCCCATCAAACTTCAGGTTTTAAAATTAGGAACATCATTACAACTATTAGAACAAATGTGTGTAATTTAACTACTTAGTCAATAGATTAAGTTTCTTTAGTGAATGAGAGGAAATCACTATAATCTTGGGACCAGTCTATATATATTGGTGGGAAATAGAAAAAGATTTTTGTGTGATCTGTATTCTGCAACTGCAGATGATAAGGATTCAGGAACAGACCACGTCAGTGATTCCAAATACCCATAAAAACTACTCTTTCTTATTTTTTGAGGAAGGTAGCCACTGATTTGTAATAGGAAACATGAAAGTTAGTCTGCCAGTGTCAAAAACTATGGAAGTAGGAAGAGAAAGCTGCCAATCCTGTGTAGCCTGGTGAAATAGTAAACCACAGAAATGGGGCAGAAGGAGGGCAATGAGTATGCAGAGTCACCCTTACCTGGGGGTTTGTGTGTGTCAAAGAACCAAGGGCATAAAACTTAAGATCAAAGCAGTGAACTAAAATGTAATCAAGATTCATTGACTTGCTTTTCATTGGAAATTCGGTTGAGCAGTGTAAAGTCCTCTAATGTGAAACAATCACAAGCTCCCAGGATCTATAAATTCCTCTTCCTATGTAGAAATGTGGACTTGATATAGCATATAGCTTGGTCCCATGGTAAACTTGTCAACGTAAAACTTTGCGATAGAGTTTATTTTTTGGCCTGTGCTTTCTTTGGAACTGGAATTAACCTCTGTGTGACCATTGTGAAACCTTTCCTTGTTAAGCACATTTTCCAGGCTTATTTTAATTTCACATTTTGTTGAATGTGCTGACCTGCTCTGACAGTATGTAAAATTTCCAGGTGGAAATTCTGCACCCAAAGTATCTATGTAATATTAACATTTAAGTTTTTAGTAAGAGCTTCTAAGGAAAGATCTAAAGAAAAATTATTCTGTAACTTTTGCTGCTAGTTGTAAAAGCCTCATTTTCTTTTAAATGTCTTTGACAAAGCTAGGCCTGTTCATTCTTTTGAAGAAAAAAAAAATTAAAACCTTAGCACTAACTTAAATTTAAACACATTGGCACAGATAACCTAGTTTTATTTGTACATTTCTGGCATAATGTGCTGAGAAATACTAATTCTTTTGACTCTCTGCCAATTTTCTACTAATCAAAATGGAGAAGATATGCACTGTTTGGATTATACCTAAAAATAGTTGTGCTACAGTCACATCAGCAAATGGAATTAAATTAATTTCTCTTTCTTACCCTTCATACACACCCTACATGTTCTTTAAATTTCCATCTAGAATATTCCTCCCGAATCTCATGGTTTTAGAGTCAGTCTGTCCCAAATAGCATTGCTACGTTGCAGTGATCTTGAATCAAACTCCATTTAACCACTTTGCAGGGCATGCCCCTCCCCTGAAATATCTACCTTCACTCTCCTTTCATTTACAGAGTCTCTACCAGATACTCCTTATGATGTAATCATAAAAGTATTATTACTATAAATAGATGCTTTGCGGATTAATTCACCACATCAATCGTCTTTTCTCCTTTTGTGGGAAGAGAGAGATCATTTCAGAATCTATCAGATTCAGTCATTTGATCAGCAAGCAGATAAGAGGTTTCCAAATCCAATTGCTTTAATGACAGACTGGAAAAAATATATATATATAGCCTTGAGAAGCCCATACTAAGCTGCTGATTAGATCATGGTCTTTGCAGTAATGTTAGCAATACCCAAAAAAGCATTGTAAGTAACTGCCTTAAAACTTTCATCTTCACTTGGCTGTTGGGGAGAGATCACATTTGCACCTTCTTCACCTGAACACAATTCTTGTCAGGGACCCACTGTACTCTCTAGCATCCTTTGCTGAGCATTTATTTTTTCAGGTCTTCTTGAATAAGCTTGAAACGTCTAGAACATTCAGATAAAGTCTCTTCCTAGCAGCACTGGTTTCTCATGAGTGGTTTCCTAAAGACCCGATTTTCAACATCTTTCAGCACATGCAGGTTTTTTTTTTCCTTTCTTTTCCACATTCCCACGCCCATAACTGTTAACCGGTAGTAGCAATGTCACCCTCTCCTCTTCCTATTTATGACACAAAGTTTATACCTCTGATGCATTTTAAATGTCAAGTTTGCCTTTCTGCCTGAGAATTTCAGTACTGCTCATAATTATGCAGCAACTCCAAGCAGAAAAAAATTGAAATTATTGTTTGTACTTTTGTTATAAAAATTCTTCATGATGGGTTTAAGATTTGGGGGGTGGAGGTTCCTTAATAGACTTTATTTTTCTAGCACCATCTCTTCTTAGCCCTGTCAGTCTATCCCAGTCTCAGAGGGTAATGTTAGTTGTTCCTCCTTCAACTCTTTGTAAATTTAAAGTAGTTTTACTAGTTATTATTAGACTAGCTCACTTGTGAGAATTTGTGAACCTTTGAAAGAACAAAACTTTTTCAAGCAGATGAACAACTTTGGCCATTCTGGCTCCTTCTGTGACTGTAGTTCCCGCTGTGCCTGGTGACCTTGGGAAACTCATTCTGTTTCCCTGTGATTCGGGTTTACTTCCCACAAAGCCTAATCAGTAGCTTTTGCTTGTAAATCCCTTTGAGATGCTCTGATAGAAGGAGTTCTTTGCTTTGCTGTGTCTATCCTTTCAATACTTCCTCCTGACCTTCTTTTCCCTTTCCTAGCAGCTCCACCCCCAAAAATCCCTCAGTGTTTTAAAAGTGAAAAAGAACAAATAAGAACTGCAGGAATATATATAATACCCCATGCATCCAAACAAATGGTCTTTCTTTTTTTTTAATTGCACTTAAAATTCCACAGAAACCACAGCTGAATCAAATAATCTTCTTTCCAAACAGGAGATTAAAAACCTGTTTGCTATGTACTTTGCAAACGAGGTGGTTTAATGATTCTCAACCCACAGCCACTTTGAGAAAAGTAAGTCAATTTGAAAAGTTACTCAACTCTACAATTTTTGCACTGAGTTGTAAAAGCTAATAGCAACTATCTAGGTTGTTCTCTTTTTCTTGGAATAGCAATTCAGAGATGAAAAGTGTTGAAAGCCATGGGGGTTTGTATTTTTGCTTACCTTTCTTTTTGTAGTTTGCAGGGTATAGGGTTTCTTTGTTCCCAATTTCATAAATGGTGACAAAACTACAGGAACTTTAGTGACTTAAAATATCTGTTATATGAAGTACAGGTACTCACCTGCAATCTTGAGGTCCTTGTTAAAAATGATTTTAGAGAATAAACATGAATAGATGTTCCAATAACATTTTCTGTCCTCTGAGGTCTTTTTAGAAGCCTTTGTAGACAATACTTTAGTAAGATGTTCTTTTCAAAGAACTCATTGTGCTTAAATGATTTTGTGATCAATTGAGAAAATGTGTTTTTTCCTTTTCCTTAAAATAGATAACCTAAGTAAAAGTGAGTCACATGAAATCATTCCTGATCCTGGCATGTGAAAGTTGTTGATCTGTCTTGCAGACTGTCTTTGTTCAGGGTTCTGCTTAGATCCATGCAGACCCCTAAGGCTGACCGAGTTAAAGACCTCCTTTGTAATAGCTCATCCGATCAGAAAATATTTTCTTTATAGCAAACCCAAATCCCTCATGGAGTTTTGATTCCTGGT